ACCTCAATGGGTCTTGTTATTATATGATTGCACAGGTTAAGTTTTAGGTAGAGTTTCCCATACAAAGGAGACTCTGCCCGAATTTCGTCAAAATTATGGTTCCCGATAAATAGAGCATAATGGCGTGATATCGAATTACTTGGTATCCACGGATATTCCGCGGGTTGATGGGTAATCAATGGACCCCCGGATTTTGGGGTGTCACAGGTACTCATGTGTATCTTATGATGACGTATGATAGGTGCGGAGACGACAACGCCAACACCAACTTCACCTAGGGTTTCGTCGGGGGAGTAATTTTGAGTGTAGAATTAACCACAATGTAAGTATATTGATTGAAAACTTGATTGGTTGTTTGTTAGTTATACTTGTGTGTAAATGGTTAGAATGTAGTTTGTGGATTATAATTTTGTAGCTTGATGTTTGGTTATGAGTTCAAGTACTTATTGTGGTTGTTATGTACTTTCCAATAGTAATGGTTGCCGAGACTACGGGCCGTATTATCGTCGAGACTCCCAGGCCATATTGGGTTATCAAATATTGATTTTTACTTTTATTATATGAAACTTGTTTCATAACTGTTCCATGTTTATATGTTTTCTTTCTTGTTTTGAATATAGTCACTAAGCATATTAATAGCTCAACCCCCCAACAGATGTTTGATTTCAGGTGTTCGGGATAGAATACGACTCATTGTGTAGTATGGCTTGGCTTAGAAGAGGTTGGTGTTAGTTGTACATTGTGTCATATGTTATATTGTATTAAAATGTCTTGAGGGCATGATGCCCTAGCGACGTGTGTAACACTATATGTTAATGTAAAGTTTTTTGTTTATGTGAATGGATTTGATTATCCTTGCATATATTGTATTACATTGGTTTTAATTTTGATGAATATATTAGGTTATGTTTAACCATATACCAATGAGTCTTTGGTCTAATGGTACCCTTTACCTTGTGAAAGTTTTACTTTCTTGAGGTTAAGGGTTTAAACCCCCTTCCCCCTCCACCTCCCATTCTCAAAAAAATGTATATATGTTTAACCATACCTTATTTTAAAGGAGGTGGGGTTGACCTGTTTTCAGGATGGGGTGTGACAAAAACACTTTCTATCATTTAAGAGATGAATCATTCATTTCCTTAATTGTGTTTGGTAGGAGGGATTAGAAAGTAGGAAAAATTGTTTTTTTTTTTTTTTGTATTTGGTAGGATGAAAAAGTGGAAGAGTGAAAAAAGTATAGATGCATATTTTACTATTATATCTATATATGAAATTAATATATATATAATATGTAATAAATAAATATGATATATGTATATATATTAAATGATATATTGGTAAATAATATACATTTCAATGCACATAATTAATTTTTTATCTATTTTTTCGTCTAATTTTAGAGAGATTGATTTTAGTGACTTAGAAAGAAAGTTTTGTTTTTTGACCAAGGAAGGAAAGTTAATTCATCAAAATTTTCATACTTTCTATTTTTGTTCTTTGCTAAACATTATATTTTATCTATCTCTCCAACTTTTTATTTCTCTGTCATACCAAATAGATTAGGCTCTTTTCAGATTTTGAAACAATTAGAGTGTCATCTAACTATTTTTAAATGTTAATAATCTTTGTTAAAAAAAAATGTTAATAATCAATGGATAGTAACAACTTCCATTATTTTTTCCTGTTCAAAATACCAAGCACTTTCTGAAAAAAAAAAAATTTTGATAACATGAATAGATTTTTATCATTCAAACAATTTTTAAGATCCTTAAATATATACTATTAATAAAGGGAGATATAAGTTAGATATTCATTGCTAAAAAAGATTAAAAAAAAAAAAAAAAGATGTATGCATTACGTCTCATTTGTTGTCTCTTAATACCTACTGCCTCCCATTCTAACTATACATCATTGTTTTTAACTACTCAAAATGTCTTATCTAACTATACTTAGCCACAATTAAGAGTCCATAACTATTGTATAGAGTTCTCTCTTTTATGTTCTCTATCATATATATATATATATATATATATATATTCATTATTATATATATTAATGACCCTGTGATAAAACCTCTAATTCCTTGAAAATCAAAGAGGAGTCAAACTTTTATTATTTATCGAAAAACTTTTTTTTGATATTATAATAAAAATTACTATATTTTTAAGTTAAGTTAAACTTTTTAAAAGTAAAATTATAATTATTTGAGATAATTCATTATCGATCATTTCTTAAAATATGTAATTTAATTTTTAAAATTTATAATTAATCATAATATTTTAAAATCAATAGTAATAAAAAATTTTAAATTTCAATACCATAATTTTTTTTCTTACATTTTAGGGGCAAACAAACGCTCAATTACATCTCCAACTAACATCCAAACAGGTCTGACTGACTGAGACAACAAAAATTGCGGGTCCCACCTTATCTCGTTATAGCGCGTGACTTACACGGGTGTTTCTAATCTTAAACCGCGTCTGACAACTGTTTCGTCAGATAACATTTAAATACCAGAATAGCCACAAATGGTAAAATATCGCGAGAAATTTGAGCTGTGGAATTAAATGCCGACGAAAGCGACTGTATAATGTAAGCTCACATGCACGACTCAACATGAAACGTGACTCCAACCGGAATATTCAACTACATTTGAACTCCTCATTTCAAATCCGCAACGCCTTCTCTCACGCAATGATAGTCGCCCGCTCTCTTATCACTCTTCTAGCACTTATCATTCGTTGGCAGTGATAAGTACGTTTAGGTATCAGTGATAGGTCAGTAGAGAATATAGACTCCTGCCAAAGGCATCGAAGATAGCGAGACCAAGTCCTCTTAACTTTCTCTCTCTACAAACTTCTCTCCCTCCCTATGCTTTATCTTTCTCTGTCTTCTCCGCAGCCTTTGTATCGTGGCTTTTCCTCAGCGGAAACCCTAGAATTGTCGGTGTTCTGGTTCGTCGGCGGCTTTCGGGCTCTCGATCTGTTGCTTTT